CTAACTTAACGGACTAACGAAGAGACATGATGATTTGTTGAGCTGCTATCCCGCAGCTAAAAAGGACTGGACTTACAGCTTTGAATCATTCGAATCGTTCCATTCTTCAGTGTACCCTATGCGCTCGAGAAGACTCCGTAAGAATGATTGTTTACGCCCTTAACCTAACACCTGGAGTATTTGAACAAGCGTCCAGGCGTTATCGGAGATGTCACCTCACTATGGTTTAGCTATACTACGTAACGTTAGGAAAAAAAAATTTCTTTGGGATCTATAAAAATGATGCCTCTAGGACCGTCCCCGTCACGGATGAATTGTCCGGCAGACGTGACAATTGCCCGATAGCAGCGTGTCTTCACAGCTTCTCTTCCCCCGTCCGGCACGGCGTTCCATCACGGCGTTTCCCGGGGGCTCAAAAAACCGATCAAGTCCCGAGTCATGTTCCCAGAGTAAGGTGACATTTTGGGGGGCATGAAAAAATTGCAATTCTGCTAAAATGCTGGGACTATTTTTGGAGGTGTCTGAGAGGTTGAGCTCTTGTTCAGATACGGATCGGAGTCGGACAAGAGCGAATGTGCTGAGCGTGTTATTGGCTATGCCGTCTCATATTTCCAATGACCAGGACTTTTGCATGTTTTTCTGCCGATTGGCCTGACTTCAAAGTACAACGGCATTCATGTATCACATCAACGTTTCTTAAATTGGGCTTTTGGGAAATCTTGGCTTCGTCTTCTTTCGGCTTCAGACTCTAGCTTCATGATTTCAGTCACCTGACGTAAAAGACTCAAATTCTAACCTTTGGGCCATTTGTGACAAAGTGACATCGGCTCTTTTCTCACACTGCCGTTGGTTGGTGTATATTTTATTTAGTTTCAACGTGGAAGGATTTTATGATTCTGAGGCTGGAGACGATGCCGAGGTTTCGTAAACAACTTAATGTGCACTTTAAGCACAGGGAGAATCCGCACAGTAAGGTTCTTCTAAACTTGATCTTCAGCACAGATTTATAATGCAAACACACGAGAGATAATATTGAGAGAGGAAAAATAACCGATTTGGGGTCAGCTGATGAAGCCGATTGGCCCTGTTAGGGCTCAACCTGCGCGGGGGGGGGGGGGGGAACGTACATTGGGCTCACTTTCTACGAAAGCACTCATTTTCTTTTTCAAACAACGAACGTTTTTGTGTCTTATCCAACATATATAATTGGGTGCTGTGGCCCATTGGTTACGGTGTTCGACTTGTGTGCCGTGGTACATGGTTTCGAATCCTGACCGTGGGAACATGGTTCTTGTGCTCTTTGGCAAGGCACTTTCCATTATTGCTTCGTCCTTCGGATGGGACGTAAAGCCGTAGGTCCCGTGTGTTGTGTAATGGACGTTAAAGAACCCAGTAACACGTATCGCTAAGAGAATGGGTTTGCTCCCGTGTTTCTGGCAGTGGCTGCAATATGCACCGCAGCATCTTGTAAACCATTATAAGGTGCTACATATTGGGTCTCATATTTCTCATAAACTTTCTTTACCTTTCTTTAATAACAGACATTTTCTCCAGCGCCACGAGTACCTTATTGTTGGTAGATACGTGCGCTATATAAGACTCCGATATATGCGCGAGACTATTACGAGGAGGAACAGATGTCCCCCCCTTACTCTTGACCCCCGCCCCACCCCATCCTCGAGGTTAAGCCACTGTTAACTACATATAACCACAACCATCAACCACACAGAGTTTCACGCTAGCTCGCTGACACATTATGGGGGGGGGGGACTCGTACAAATTCGTAAAGACATTGGCAAACGTCGACTCACCCTTGATTCAATGAACGCCGTAGAACAAATTCAGTTAAAAAATCATCCTCATGAACTCCAAGATAATTCAAATCGGCATTTTGACATGAAATTAATTATAAAATTGAAGAGATCTGAGAAATACAAAAACGACCGCTATGCCATTGCAGAGACTGCAAGTCGGACCCAATCTAATCTTCCCACAGTTGTGCTTCCTCATGAAAAGCCTGCGGACAGATTGCGGTAACAGCTGCTGGCAAAATGAGACTGAAGAAAGAAAGGAAAAAATGAAGTTAAAAAAAGGCGGCAAAGCGAATCGTGCTATCGTCTGCTGGTGATTTCCCTCGTCTGCCTGCGCAGTACACTGGGGAAATCACCAGAAGTGGCGAGGCTTTGCATGGATCTGACGATCTTCAGGGCTCATGCCTAGAAAACAAAGCATAAAGGCAAGAGAGGGTGTCTGACTTCGTGGAAATTCCCAGTTGTGCTTGGGACCATACGCGCGCCAAAAAAGTCGAGACAATTTGTGTTTGGCTCCCGCATAGACCCTTCGTATTTGCAGCCATGTTTGGGGTGTTGTTTGTGTTTCACATTGTGAAACACACAAGCAGACCTCCTAAGAGTGCATTCGTTGTTATTGCATTGAAATGACAAAATCCTCAACAATGAACGACTGAGCAAACGGTATTTTTGGTGCTGGGGCCCTATTACCAAACAATTTAGCGAAGTTACCCCCTCACAAAAAAAATCGGCCTAAACAAATCCTAGTTGTCCCTGGCGTTGGGGTTAGGAACCACGTCAGTGAATGTCCGGGATGTAGCGGGGGATTATCCATAATTTGTATTATAGGCTTTATTCTTGAGTCGGACATATTAAATTAAAAGCGAGGTAAAATCTTCATTTTTGGAACTTGCGAATATACATGAAAGCAATGAAATGAAGTGAATTGCAAATTAATGCCAGTGTGCTCTGATGAATAATTTAGAATGTGTAATTAAACATACCCTAATGTTTTAAGCCACATCAAAAAAACTTAAAGTTTAGGCTTGGAACGCAAAAAAAGTCTGGCACCATCCCATTTAACACTTTACAATTTATAAATTACATTCAGGGAACGCGATCGCCAGAATCTTTCCTCAATGAAGTTATCAGCACAGACAAATTGATAACTCCATTGCATGAATATTTCGGGGAAGTTGTTTAGACTCCAGCGATAAACACTCAGTGCAATGGGCATATTGTGGATCCGGATGAACTTCTCCACTAACTTATCCTAATTAGATGTGTGCCTAGGTGAACAGAAAAAATGCCATTGTATCTAGCATATAGCGATAGCATTGCACGGAATCCTGAGGTTGCCAGAATAGGATGATGACTGCAATGAGGACATGCGTACAACTAATAATGTAGTAGCCAATGGATAACGTATCACCGACCGATAACGTCACACTAGTTTACCGATATTGTATCAGTAACCGATAATGTAACAAACATTGACCGATAGTGTAGTGAAATGAACTACACTCTCGGTCAATATTGTGGTAACATTATCAGCCGTAACCGAAAATGTAACAAAAATTGACCGATGGTGTAATAACTTTAACTACACTATCGGTCAATTTCTGTTATCGGTCAATTTGTGTGACATTGTCGATTGGTGATACGTTATCCGTCGGTTGCTACTTTATCAGTTGTAACAACATGTATGACTTCGACGCCCATCGGAACCAGAGACCCATAGATATGTCATTACTCTATAATATAACCTAGGTCCGTCTCTCGGTCACCGCATTTCGCCGAGAAATTAGGGTGAAGTATTTTCTAATCAACGATCATCTTTCCTTATTTATCTATTTATCATTATTTTTCATTTTAACTGAGTAGCCAATTCAGTGGAATCCACTGGACTCCAATGGGGCCCAGTAAAGAGATTACAATGTGAAGACATTACAGTTTCACATGTTGGAGGAAAACCCCAGAAGATAATTTTTGAGGAAAATCCACAAAATCAAGTAGGGACTGAAACCCCAATCCACATATTATTGGACAAGGCAGGAATCGAACCCGGGTCACAGCGGTGGAAGGCGAGGAAAGTACCGCTATACGCAAACCTGATATTTCCTAAGAAAGCTGCAGAGAAGTTCTTGGTGCTAGAGTGACAGTTCAGATATAAAAAATAACCTCTATATTTGCCGATTTGCTGATGATGAGTACTTTGCTGTTTGCCAACGGTTAGTCCTTCAGTCTTGAACAAGCAAACGAAAGTCTCTTTCGTCTCCTGGCAGGTCACGAGCTCTGACGCGTAACGCAAGGAAAAAGAAGAGGTGATTTGACTCATTAAGCCCGCATGGAGGATGGGACAAGCATGGTCATTAATCACCCTTACAACTACGCTTCTGGAAAAGATAAAATTGAATGGCTATCTTTCTTATGATGCAAAATGCTGACATCTTAACGCCTCCAAGTGCCTCAAAATGGCCCGAGGGCTTCCAAGGAAACGCATGTAGCTATAGATACAAAATAATTCCAATTTTATTTCGTGTGGTGGCAACTTTATGTTGAAGATCAGTACGGAAATGACGTATGGATAACGAGGAGGCATAATGGCAGGTGATTTCCAGTGCCGTTCATACACATTTCAACCTACATCGGCTTATCTCTATGGATGAGGCGTATTTCCAACCCAAATTATTCTTGAGTATCAAGGAAACAGAGTAGGGTGTACAAACAAACAAAACGCTGTACATCGAAAATCCAAAACGCCTGTGCAGAGAAACAAATATTTTTTAACTGCCTTTTGTCGCCTAGTAATCGTAAGAATTAATTACTACCAAAAATAAAAGCATCTTACGATGTTTTATACAAGGTTGATAACAAACGAAAGAAAGGAGGGTAAAGTTGGGTTCGAACCCGTGCTGTGTGGCTAGTGGTCTGCCAATTTGACAATGTCTTTATTTTCTGTACTAGCATGATGCCGCGCGAAGGTGAAGTCATATACTAATGTATTACTTTGAACTTAATTTGCATGTTGACCCCAAGTGGGCGCGTTGAACCATGTGCAGGAATTTTGCCACCTTTTTCATCATGAACGTTATGTGTTGCGTAATAGCGATACGTTTTGCAGTGTTTTTATAGAGATAATGTGGTAATGTTTAAGTATTCAAAGTCTGCAAGAAACAAATTTGCTAAACAAAAAAAATAAAATAAAAATTCACGTGCCAAACGTGACTTCGGAGGACAGTGAAATCGTAGCATAGGACCTGCATACACTGGATACCTCCCCATTAACCGTTGCATTTTGAGCCTCCGCACACGTCCTTAAGCCTTTTACAAAAAAAGTGACACACAGACATCAGACAGACATCAAACAGACACCGTAGGATCTTTTAATATAGGATGGTATTAATACCCAACCACGGTTATAGAAATATCCTGGAAAGTTGCGCTAAGGGTTACTCGGCTCAATTTTGTTAATTAGATAACGTACTTCGGAAATTAATTAAAATGAAAACCACTACCAGTCACAAGTTATATTCATGGAGATAGCATTTGGTGAAAATGTGTCTTGTTAAGAAATATCGTCAAAGCTCTGCAAACACCAACTCATGCATAGAACATGCAGTCTGTGGTATACCCAGGTGCTCTAGATATGAGAGCCATGCACGTTGTATTTGGAGAAACCCTCCGGGGAATGTGTCTGTCCTACCAAAATTGTAAATCACATCCGCTAGGCTTTGAGCCCTGATGACGATATTATGCATGACGTATGTCGAACCCCCTCAGGGACGATGTGATCTAGAATCCCCGGTCACACCTTGGTGAATTCTAATTGGGTTTTGATTGATACTGACTTCGGGTAATGGCTTGAGCCTAGTTTAATGTGATTTGATTTGTAACCCCCTAATCCGGGACGAGGTCGGCCAGAAATAACACAGGGGAGGGTTTCACTGCAGTAAGAAGCCTGCGCGCTTATACTCTGTTAATTTGTCCTAAAGCAATATTCAACAACACACCTCCTCCTCTCAACAGTTACAGACATTAAAGCTACATGTAGTATATGCCTTTCCAACCTGAAGTCATGCACAACAGCCCTGTATTCACGCCTTTCGCTCCACAGTTTCACACCTACAGGTGTTACTCTGTCCAAGTATTTCCACATTGTTGATCCTGCGGAATGATAAATAGCGCTTACAAAACCTTACACCTGAAGCTGTTTTCAATGGAGTAACTTTTTCAGCAATACAGGGTGACCGAAAGGTCAGAGCCAGATTCAGCTAAATGCACATCAAAACTTCTGGCCCCTTCTCTTAAGAAACTTACTCACAATCCCACATAAAATATCTCTTTACGGCGTAAATAATATTCCAACAAATGATACTGAATTGTGACTCAGAGAAACGTTGGTTTCCCCACGTGTACATAAGCGTGCAGACGAATATTGGTATGTTTGACGCAAACAGTATATACTTGCACATAAAATGTGCATTTTTCAATACCAATGAAGACAATGGGGCATTTCGCGACCAAAGTTATGTTCGCTAACCAACATTTCAGAACAATTTAATGTTATCCCACGGCCACCCAGATTTGACGCTCCAAATTTACATACATTAGTATAAATCCATATTCAGATCCGTGTTGCAGTCGTGTATTCTGTTTCACGCGAAACAAAATTACAGTGCATAAATCTAAAGGTAGTCAAAATGTAGCTTCGGGTAAACAACGCCCTCTGTTTATGAATTTGTTGGTTTTGGGCGCCTTGTGTAAAGCACGTGATAACGCCCTCTGTTGGCAGACTAAGATTCCAATGTTCCTTGTTTTGGAGGAGAATGTGGTCGTATAAATGGTTATACAATTTCATATAAATGGTTGTATAAATGCATTCATTTTTGCAACAAAGAATCATGTGAATTATACAATTCGGACTCCTGTCTTGTCTCATTAACATGAAAAGGACTCCTAAACGGCGTTAAATGTGACTGGGAATTATCACTATACTGTACAATGAGACATGCGCAACGCAATCAGGGAGTCCATTTTTCACAAAGTCCGACTTTCATACTAAACCGGAACACAGCAGACTGCTTCTTTTCTTAACTTGGAATCAGTTAGCATCTCCTACCTTCATGCAGTTAGTGAGTACAATTTGTTGGATTAAGAGGTTGGTGATTAAAAATGACATAAGAACGATAGAAAAGTAGGCCTAGACAATGAAGCACATTGCGCAGTTTTCTTTAGGTCAAAAGTGGAAAACCAACGGAGAAAGGCAGAAAGGCAGAACTTAGGGACCAAAAAACCTAAATCCACACATTGTTTTCCTAATGCTGGGGTTAGAGGTCCAATGCGACACCACTGTTTGAAATCAGCGATGTTCGGTGTTCTCAACCCCCGGCTCCAGACGTTTCAACAGCGGGAAGAACAGCGTCTGCAATGCGCCGGCGAAGTACACCCCGGCAAGTAGGTAGAAGATTGTCTTGTAGCTGCCCGTCACGTCATACAGCAGGCCTGTTGGTGTTCAAAGACACACAATTAATGATGCAATGATCAGTTCTACAAATAGTTAATGACAGTTTGTTTTACTGCTGAGTGCAGAATGAATTCCTAAAATCAGAAGGGATTTTCCATTCTAGTAAAAAACACTTAACTCTGTTTACCTACATTTGCATATCAGCGCGCAAGCGCACAAACCTCGCTAAATAAAAAGCGCCCAAGCCGCACCCTCCGCGCTACATGTCCCTTTAAAGGTTCTAAAGGCTCCAATTTTTTTAACGATTCAAAATTGGGAGGGATGGTTAACAGAGGTGAGTGTTTTCTTACTAAAATGGAAAATCCCTTTGGATTTAGGAATTCCATTACAGAAAACACCTCACCTCTGTTTATCTACATTTGCAGAGTAGCACCGAAATACTCTAGGGAGGGAAGGGACATGTAGCGGCAATGAAAAAGTCCAAACTAAGCCTACATGCAATTATAAACGGCATGAAAAAGGTCATTTTGGACATACCCGGGTGCTGCTTATCCATTCCAAAGGAGCTTTACGGGCTTTGCGAGCTTCTGATCGTGCAGTTTCCTGGAAGAAATGCTTCCAATGTGGCCCTCTGCTTGCACAACATCTTTCAGCAAGATGTGACAGGGTAAGGGTTCTTCCAGCAGTCCGCTATCCTGATACCTGAAGGAGAAAGTCCAATTTCCTGGTATTTGAAAGGGCATTTCCAAGCAATTCGGTTTAGGAAGTTGTCACACTGGGTGTTTCCTGAGCTTGAGATTTTGATCCTCGATGTCGGGAGGGCATTCTAAAGCCACCGATAATCGAGCGATCATGGTCACAGAGGCTTGCAGATGATGCTAGATGGCCGTAATGAGCATCTGATTGATGTCGCCTCTCAAAGGCTGAGTGCGAGCATTGTAGTTCTTAAGAGCTCGCATAGGGCCCACCATCTCCTATGCTACTAATGAAAAGGATGTCAACTTGGCCGAAAACATATGGTCTGGAAATAAGTTGATGTATTCCATGTGTTGAACTTCACCTACGGAATAAAGTAAATGCCGTCATGTCCCAAATGGCTATGACCTGTTTTACGTGAAGTTCCCTTCTTAAGGCAAGCTACTACAGCAGCCAGTAAGATTGGTTTTGCAAGCTAACAGAAAGGAGAGCTATCTGTTGGTTCAAATGGAACTTAGCTGAGTGACCCAATGACGGAACCTGGATCCCAAGATGGTATCTACTTCAGATTAGGAGGTTAATTGATAAACCTGCCGTTCATCAGATTTGATGAGGATGTGTTCAAGGAAACTGTAGATCTATCATTGGAACCTTGATAGAGGACTACGATGGCTCATCGGTAACCCTAGTAGATATCTGAAAACTGGTGTGAAAAACTAGACAAAATCCCAAATGAAGGTACAGATTCAGATCGGGGATTGGCAGCTACCATCATATATATCTTCTCCATAGGGAATCAAATCTGCTTCTGACTGCAAAGGCTGTAGTTTTCAGCTGGGAAGTAGATCATGAAATCATCCAGGCTCAGAGATGAAGAGTGGATGTGGAGATAGGATCTTTTATAGCCTACCATCTAGTTAGAAGAGCAAATGGATTTGTTTCGCTGTAAAAGGAATGCTGCCACAACATAGGTGATTCTTATAAAGACCCAAGGAACTGTGTAATCCAAAAGGTCTGTAGCGAATCCCTGAAGGTACGCGCAACTCTTACCTCTGATGATCCGCGTATATGGCCACAAGGACATTAGTATCCCATTGATTGATGGAAGTAGGAAACCAACCTGTCTCCACAGACTGGAGGGAAGTAGAAGGCATTTCCATCTGAAGTGCTTTGCTTCATGTAACAGTTTGATAACTGGCCGTCATAAGTCAGACTTTTACCGAGTGAGGAAAATGCTGAAGTAAAACCGAGAACTGATCCAGTTGGAAGTATCCTGACCAAGTTCATTCCCTAGGGAAAGATATCTTTCTCAGTGTATTCTGTTGTGACAGCAGTTCATGGTCAGGGAGAGCCGTGGAGGAGGGTTGTGGAAATGAATTCCAGTCGATACCTCGAAGAAAGTGTCTAAAGAACCCCTGAAGTATGAAATTACATAAAACCATCTCTGGCTGGACTCTACAGGACAAACACCTGTTAGACCCAAAGCAGTAGGAATACGTCAAAATTCTGCTCTGTGCCCCGCCTCTGTCAAATTACCGAGGGACCCTTCGGTATCAAACGCCAAGCCTCGCCTACCCGTTACACATGAGTGTCGATCTCTGATTCTGCTGCTTGCATGAGCTCTGTCAAATGTGCGGGATTTGTCGGGTATCTTGCTGGAGAAGTGCACGTTCCAAGGTTATTTTCTACCGTCGAACCCGGCGATTACACCCGGTCGTAGTGGCGGAAATATCACACTTGGAGTGTTGGTTGCGGGGGGATTTCCCAGAAATGACTTGAGCTAACACTTTTCTTTTTCGTCTTGGCGACGTCCGCCATTGTTACGAGCACAGCGAGTACAGTTTGTGTTTGTTTGTTATAATTCACACGATGTTCACACTAAAGCTGCTGAAGAAACTAGGAGGAGCCTGTGTGTTACAGGGCCTTTTAAGGGACAGGTAGTGGGCGGGGATGGTGCGGCTTGGGCGCTTTTAATTCAGCGAGGTTTGTGCGCTTGCGCGCTGATATCCAAATGTAGGTCAACAGAGGTGATTAGTGTTTTCTGTAATGGAATGGACGTGTAATCACCTCATCTTGATGACAATACATTCAAATACAATGGTAGGTATAAACAAGGTCTCAAGTGCACTTCCTCATTCTCATAAATATAAAGAGAATAATTACATATACAAAGAGGAACTTACCGGATATTAGAGGTCCACACAAGCCGCCAATACCATTAAATATGCAGTTCAATCCTACGGCTACGCCGAAGTGCTCCAAGCCAACATAATGGCGAATCTGGACAATGAAAATAGTATAAATGGCTCCGCTTGTCAAGCCCTGAGTAAAGGTAGCCAAGGCCATCGACACATAGCTGTCCACGTTCATCAGCAGCAGCGAGACACCGGCCATGGAAAGGCAGAAACCGCTCGCGGTCTCAGCAGACATTCGACAGACGATCAGCAGCCCGTTTCCGAGGCGACCCACCAGAAGTCCTACGCCGTACATACTTAGCAAGAGTGCGGTGCTGGAGGGCGCCACACCGGTGCTCTCAGCGCGCGGAATGATGAACTGCGAACAGCCGTAGGAAGCAAAGCCTAGTTCGATCGTTGAGAGACACACGAGGGTGAACCGATAGCTCTTGACGAAGAGGTCCAACCCTACGGCGGAAGCGAATCCACGCAGGGGATGGGTCAGTTTCACGGATTTAGAGCCTGTTTTAATTGAATCGATTTCTGTGAAGTCATCAGTGGTTGAGTTGGCAGGGCGCTCTCCACCAGATTCCCCGACTTCCGGAAAGTCAGCGTCGGACACACTGTGGTCCTCGCTTCTCATGTTCGAGCCATCAGCCACACTTTCGTCAAAAGAACTTCGCATCTGAACTTCCAGAGTGTTTGCCGCATGCAAACAACGCTCACTCCTGGGCGGTCGGCAGAGGGCGCTAAGCCCGATCAAATTTGCTGCAATCGCTGATATCACCAACATGGCGCCCCTCCAGCCGTAGGCTTCCAGTAGCAGTTGAAGTAGCGGAGGTATGGCTATTCCGCCCACTCCACCCCCGGCATACGCCACGGCATAGGCTGTCTTGAATTGACTCTTGAAGTGCATGGCAACAGCTACGGTGACTGCGTTGAATGCCACGCCTTGACCAACACCTGTACAGGGTATCATCCGAAAAGTATAGCATATGTTAAAGCTTTCCATAAATACCTTATTTAATAGTCTTCGGAAGTCATGGATTACTGTATACCATGGATTTCAAAATAAAAGCTATTGACCTTCATTGGCCAAGTTCTGTAAAACGTAAAAGGAGCTGTCTCAGGAATGAACTTCGGCCCTATTCAGTACTAACTGCGCGTGCGCACTGCGCACATCAGGGCATAATTCAAAATTGTGGTGCTCTGTTTATACATTCTCTTTTTATCATGTCTTGGTTTTAAAAATAGTAAAACCGTAGAAGATGGTGCCTTAGTCGGCACAGGACCACGTGATATGCAAGTGCACCCACTAATTATTGTTAGGCCCTACCTCATTCAAATGTCTCTGGGAATCGTACCTAGTACTGCGGCTGCAATGTACAACTGGTATATTTCCTTCACCCAGTGGCTGCTGAATATGCCGACAGACGTGAGCATGCCTCCAAATATTCCCGTTGTTCTACATCCACAGTGTTTCGTCATCACGCCGCCTAATAGCACTTTTGCAGAGAAAGCATGAATCTCTTTAGTAAGTCAGAAATTCAGGTGAGTTTCGTAGCAGTTAGATGGTCATAAGTCGACACAAGTTAATCACAAGTCACATTGAAGCTTGTCCTAGACCCGTATTAGTCACAAATCGTCACCGTTTTCACGAAGAGCCATATATGTCAAAAATTACAGTTTTTTCGATTTTGATTTTTTTCAATATTTTGCTTTAAAACAATGTACTTAACCATTTTGACATGTTTTTGTAAGCAAAACATCATTAATTTCAAAGTTACATTAATGTTGCAAGGGGCCAAAATCTCGATAAATGAATTTTGCGTTTTCACGAAGAGCCACATACATTTTGGCCCTTTGAACGCGTACAAAACCCATTGCACGGAAATACGTAAAAGTAGGTCAAATGAGATTTGCGTTTTCACGAAGAGCCACATATCTTTGTTACATTTCCAGCTGCGCGCGCGTACTCACGCGCGCCTATGGAAATACACATTGAACAGAAAGGGCCAATATGTCGGAAACCTGAATTTGCGTTTTCACAAAGAGCCACATATCTTTACTAATTAATTTTCACTAATTAACTGCTGAATTAAGTCTTATTACTGGGTTCATGTAAAAATTCAGCTCACACAGAATAGTGTGATGGTTTCCTTGCTTCACAAAGTTGTTGCAAAGTGGTATTTTTTGCAGTTTTAAAATATGAGAAACTTCTTTTGCGATTATCTCGAAAACACTTTTTCTTCAAAATCGACATATGTGGCTCTTCGTGAAAACGGTGACGAAATGACTGACAATCAATGAAAGGGTAACCGATCTAATTCACAAGTGATAGTCACTCAATTGGTTGATCGGTCAGTGAGTCAGTCAGTGAGTTAGTCGGGGAGTTAGTCGGGGAGTCAGTCGGGGAGTCAGTCGGGGAGTTGGGGAGTCAGCCAGTAGGTTAATCAGTCAGTCAGTCAGATATTCGGGGAGAGAGTCAGTCAGTCGGTCGGGCAATCGGGCAGTCAGTCAGTCAGTCAATCAATCAGTTGGTCGGGGAGTCGGGGAGTCGGGGAGTCGGGGAGTCAGTCAGTCATTCAGTCTGGGAGTCAGTCGGGGAGTCGGGGAGTCAGTCAGTCAGTCAGGTACACACAAATAATACTAGGCTTGGACCAGCGGAAGCTTGGGTTCTGCTGGTCTCTCTTCTACATGAGTCCCGGATCGACTTAGAGGGAGTTATTTACCAGAAAAGGAGTAAACGGAAGTGAGAATACTCGAAACGGCCGCCGTTGCTTGGGCGCTTGAGTCGAAATCGTCCCTCCAGCTCAGGAAAAAGACGCCGATGCCTCGCAGTAAGCCGTCCAGTAGCGCTATGCTGAGATGTGCAGCAAGGACCACCACTATTCCCCAACCATGCCATTCACTGCGTCCCGAGGAGTTCCTCGCGGGGCTCTTACGTCGTCGATGCCTGCCAAACCTTCGCACGAATTCAGTCATGGCTAATCAATCGGTTCTGACTAGGAACAATACGCTACAATAAAATATAAACGCCTGGCATTGAGTAAACACATTGTCATTATGTACACGTACAACCAATTGTACGTGAGGGGTTGTACACAGATGGCAGATTCGGACGCGGCCTCGGAATTTGGAGTTTGCTGAAGATTAAGAACACAGTTCTAAAATATGGTGAAATGGGGGTTAAATTTACAGTGGACGTATTAACATTGGATGGAGGGTATTATGTATCAGTATGGCTCTGGGTCTTTCTTTTCAGTCCAGGTCACTATTTAATACCGAGGTCTGATGTCAGATATTATGGTTTACTATAAAGGTCACTAATAAGGCGTGATGTCTGCCCTTACACGGCGTGTGGTGTGTGTGTGTCTGTGTGCGTGCTCTTGTATTGTTTTACGCTGGAGGACAGACAACAAAAGGAGCACAAAGGGACCTTTGATCCTCGGACGACGATGCCTATTGGTAAAACCGGTCCTTGATCGTACGGTTATGTGCTTAGTCTATTAGTCTATAATAGGTTGTCCTCAGGCGCATAGTCAAACACGAGTGCGTGTACAAACACTGCCTTGTGGGGTACCGGAACAATGGGAGGTACCCCACAAGGAATGCCCACCGACTTGCAGGGTACCATTTTGGTACCCCACAAGTTTTTCACGAAATAGATATATATGGATTTTACTCAAAAACTAGGAATTTCAAAGGTGGATTGATCCGTCGCAAATGGAAGAGTTTTAGAAAAGGGATATTAAGTCCGAATTTCAGCCCAGGACATTATACTCTGGTTAAAATAAGAGCATTTTGACATTAGTGTGCGACGTTGCACAACTTTAGTACACGAGAACAGAGGAAGTACCCCACTTCTATGCCTATGTAAGCGTGAGTTTGGGTGAGTATTGGTTTCACGAACTAGCACTCATCCTTTTTCTCTTATATTTTGTTGTTTTAATACACAAACGGGTCAAAAACAGCAAATTTATGAACATCAATACATCAAGTGTCCACAACGAGAAACCCAACTGAAAATACTCTGCAGTTTTGACGCAAAGTGTTGTTCTAGAAGGCGTTCAACCTTAGATGCCGTTTTCTCCGATTGCTAGTTATTACCGGTATGTACATGAGTGTTACTTCGTGGTGTCGGTGACGGAATGTAACGTAAATATGGGTAGGCATTACTTTCACTGTGTGGACTTGTGAACAAAAGATGTCCACATAATGTAGGTTGTGTTGACGTTATGTGGACTAAGCCGTGTCCACATAACGTTTCGCCCTCTCTGGAAAACAGGTTTAGAGGCATTTTTAGGTTAGGTTTATCCGTGGCACAATGAAGAGAGACACTAAAGGGAATCATAGAAAAAAATTGGGTTGAAAGAGTTTTCACAGTTAAAGTAAAGTTATTTTTTGTACCGAGTTTTCTTAACTACACGAAAACAAAGGAATGTCCACATAGTGTATGTAAAACAAACATGTGTGGGTGTGTGTGTGTATCGCGGCTTGATGTCTGTCCTTAACCGTCGTCATGTTTGTCTATCGCGGCGTGATGTGCGTCCTTACCCGGCGTGATGTTTGTGTAAATATATATATTATAAGTATAATTTGAATATTCATGAGCTATTCTTTCATATTCCGAGTGAGCAAATAGCATAACAAGGTTCAATGGGACACGGCACGTCGCGAAAGAGCAGTGTTGTGATTCGCTTGAAAGAAGACCCATAGAGAATGCGCGTATTTTGTTTGTAACATGCTCGAGCTTCAAACATAAAGGTACTTACACAAAATTTTCCGAGTTTGAAACAATATTTTCAAATAACTGTAGTTTCAGATACCGAGTGAGCAAATTGTGCCAAGTACTTCAAATGAGTGCCATAGAGTGATTTCAAAATGACACAGCGTACTCAGCATCAAATTCTACACGCATATCTCTGTTCTGCCGTTGGCGGCGCCCTCAATGACACGCTTTAACCCGATATGATAAATTGTTAAACAGAATTGTCTATATATAATTCATTATTCATTATATTGTTTAGTTTTTCGGCTTATTTATTTATATATAACATTATTTACATAATATGCATTTCTTTTCGGACAATTAAATATAAATAATTGTTTGGCAGTTTGCGTTTCACATAAATATTTTATTTCCCACTGCATTATTTACAAATACGTTTGTCAGATGAGCTCATTATTTTCATACATTTTTTTGCAACATAATTATTTACAAATAATTTGTAAACGTAAGATATACAACAATTTTTTCCAACATAGTTATTGAGATTTGAAGGTTTGCATGGTGGAAAGATACTAAGACAAGATAAGTTTTCGATGGCACCATGTGAATAAATCTCTTTTGTGAGTATGTGTGGTTCTGAAAAGAACCGGAGGGACTCAACGTTTCGAACAGTATGCTCTGCCCGTCGTCAGGAGAATGAGGGATTCCAACGATGATGGAATGTTATAAGGATGGGTGCAAACTGGTGAAGCTCGAAACCGGTGAAGCTGAGAAGGATGCAAGTTGACTAAAGGATGCTGGATGAGCACTGGAGCGTGTCAGTACGTAGTAAGGGGGCAAAGGGGAAGGAGCTCAGGGTATAGGTGAACCATAGGCGAGAATTGAACCTAAGTTGTCCTAGGGTATAGGAGACCCATCGGACTTGGACTTTAGGATGGGGCGCCAGATGTCGCTGATGTTGAAACCGATGTCTTGGGGAACAGTGTTATGCTTGATGATCTCGATGGCCTCTCTGATGTGTCGGGGGTACCAGCAGTCGATGCTAGTGAGCAGTTCTGCTTGGCTCCAGCTGATCAGGTGGTCCTTGGTGTGGGAGTGTTTGACGATGGAAGATTTCTCGAAGTCTCCCTTCCTGCCATGGGCTTTGTGTTCATTGAGTCTGGTAGGGAGGTCCCTGCCAGTTTCGCCGATATACACTTTGCCACATTGACATGGAATCTTGTACACCCCAGGTCTGCATTCTGGGTCACAGCAATCCTTGTGTGAAGTCAGTAGGTTCTACATCTTCAGAGGGGATGTGTGGAAGACTCGAATTCCATGCTTATGGAGGATGCGCTGGATGTGATGATAAGTCGTGCCTAAGTAGGGGAGGGTGATGGAACTAGGGACCCTAACTAGTTGGCCTGGGGTATCGGAGACCCTACGGCCGGGAATGGTTCTTGGGTCTTGCGTCTTGACTTGGCTGGGCTGGTATCCGTTGCGCTGCAGTGCTGTGGTGATGTGATGGAGTTCTTGAGGTAGGTGTTCTTCGTCGCAGACGTTGTACGCTCTGCGGACGTGGGCTCGGTTGACGGAGGACTTGATTCTTGGGTGGTGGAAAGAGTTGCTGTGCAGGTATCTGTCCGTGTGGGTGGGCTTGCGGTAGACACTGCGAGCAAGACTTCCGTCTGGCTTTCTGGACACCTCAACGTCAAGGAATGAGATGTAGCCATCTCTTTCTTGTTCCATGGTAAACTGGATGCTGCTGTGAAGCTTGTTGAGGTGTTCCAAGAAGAGCTGGAGGTTGTCTTGCCCATGTTGCCAGATGACAAAGGTGTTGTCCACCTACCGGAGCCAAACCTTAGGTTGGTGATCCGCTGTTGCGATGGTGGTCTGTTCAAATTCTTCCAAGAACAAGTCAGCCAGAACCGGGGATATAGGAGATCCCTTGGAGGTTCCAGCCGACTGTTCGAAGAATTTTCCCGCCATCTGAAGCTGGATGAGTTGACACATGTGAGGAGCAGATCTTGAAGCTGGTCAGGGGTGAGGTCGGTGCGGTCTTGGAAAGTGGTGTCTGCTTGAAGTCTGTCCTTGGCGATGGCGCAGGCGTCTGAGGTGGGAATGCTGGTAAAGAGGGAGACGACATCAAAGCTGACCATGATGTCGTCCGGCTGGAGGGTGAGGTCTTGGATGAATGCTGCAAACTGGTCGGAGTTCTTGCTTGGCAAACTATAATATTTGAATAGAATGTGCATGCATATTTCTTGATCATCGAGATCAGTATTATTTGTGTATTGTCTTACACTTTTTCTTTTGGCTTGATAAGTTTAACACCGCAGTTATGAGTTCTAGATAATTATCTCAATCATCATTGTATACAAAAATATTAATTAATTCTCGTGAAATATATCATTTATCACTAAGGCCAAAAAAAAAAGTCTCCGGTTTATGGTATGGAGCTTGTCCAAAAAGTGGTGCGGTGACGCGGCTTTTTTTTTTTTTACCTGTCTTTTTTGCTTCAAATGTCGGCTGATGACTGCAAATGGTGCCCGACTAAACTTAGTGCAAATGTATGGGAGTCCGAAGAGGCCACATAAAACTTATTCTCGATCATAACCCCATCTAAAAACACGTGAAAATTGTGCAGCAGCAGGATTCCAGTCAAACCAGTGAGTTTGGCGGTTTTGAGACATCATCTTTTATTGAAAAAAAAACTTTTTCATTTTGCCGACGCGCATGGCTACGGCGACGCGCGCGCATACCAGAAACCGGAGACTTTTTTTGTTTGGCCTAATGATATTGAGATCAGTATTAATTGTGTATTGTACGGTCATTTTCGTTATTTATTACGTGACTGCGCCGCAAACGGTGAATAAAGCACCCGGCTATTTCTTGAAGCTTGTGCGGAAAGGAGCCCTACTGATTTCCCTCGTGCGCATGGGACGAAATCATTTTGTTTCTAAGTTTTTATTTTGTGTCCCCCCAAAACCTAATTAGACCAGAAAGTAATACATATCACGATTTCAGGGACTTTTCCGAAGACAAATGGGACAAATCCTGGAGGAAGTGAGAGAAAATGACAAAACCATTTGGACCCAAGTATATTTTGAATGAGCCGATTTCGTTTCTTTGCCTTCAGGTTTATTTATGCGCATGTGTGTATGGATTTGAATGTATTAGTGAACTGGACTAATCTGAGCAACAGCAGCTTAGGCAGAATAAAAAAAAAACATGTTTCTCGTCCGGGTTATTGAAAAAAGGAGGAAGCGGGGATTTTTATTTTTTATTTCTTTCAAGATGGCCGCCATTTAAAAATTTCCTGCAACCGTTGGTGTTTCCACTGTTCAAAGACACTTTTAAAATGAAAGATAAGTTGGACAAGAGAACTGAACATATTTACAGTGTCATTTAGACTTGTATTGGTCTACAATTTATTTTCCGATGAATTTGTGGACTTTTTCGGTGTTTTTTTACTGCATTTTTCAAAAATAAAAAATAATAAAAAAATCCAAGCGGCCCCCAAAAAGGGAAGCGGGCGGGGACGAGAAACATGTTTTTTTTTTACTTCGCCTTATATGATCTCTTGAGGCCTACTGTTGCCAGAGTTTTGTGCCATTTCAAATTGTATTAAAGCCGGAGTCCATCATTTGCAGCTATCCAAAAAAGTAACTGGCGTAATTATTGTTGAAAAACATACTTGGTTGAAAGATAGTAAGGGGACTAAACTCCCTGTGAAATTATTCTTTCTAGCAAGCTCTCATTTTGAAGAAATCAACGAAAGAAGGCATTTCCAACGGTGCGTCTTAAAAAGCACCGTGTGAAAATTTAAAATAGCAGTTCGTTTTGTTATTTGGCGCAGTGCGCGCAAGCATTGGCACGACGCACAGGCGCGCGCGGTTGCTAAAATACGTTGGATCAGTGCGCGACATCGCGTAAAGCTGCAATTCAAAACAATTCAAAACATGATTTAGCAACTTTTGATTTGAAATTGAGATCCTAGAATGCTGTTTTTTTCGGAATATACAGCTGAAGCTGAGCTGAAACTTCATCAGGTTAGTTGTTCAGTTTCCCTCATTAGATTTTGAACACTTTTGTTGCTGCAAACGAACAAAACGCACACATTACAAATGATGGACTATGACTTTAAGATGTTTCTTCTCGAAACTTATGAAAACCACATGTACACAAGTAAGTTTGCACTGCTCTATGGTTCCCGGCCAAATGCTGTCACACTTACGAAGGGGAACACGAGTAACGCATAGCGTGCATCATGTACATGTACGTCCCGTCCGCAGCCGTCAGCCGATGGAACTTGTAATATGAATATTTACAATACAGGCGTGTCCTACAGTGTAGGTAATTTCCATACCAGTTTATTACTTATTTCAGAAAACCATTTAAATTATATAAATCATAGCCATAGGGCTATGATTTGTTCGCTTCGCACCAAACTAAATTATCCACGCATGCTACAAAGACTGGAGAGACCGGAATCAGAGGCTGCGTACTCGCCATTCTTTTATTACCTGTGGCCTGAGCAACCGTTTATTCAATATGCCAAACTTCATGTTCCCGCCCGATGCTGATTATTGCTTCGTCCTTCGGAAGGGGTGTAAAGCCGTAGGACCCTGTTGTGTCCTCGTAGTGCGCCCTATATCGGCAGTAATGAGGAGTTCCGCCATGTTGCATTAAACCGTGTGTTCCGATATTCTTGCGTCCGATATTCCTTCCTTTCCACGACATTACATTGGCGACGAGGATTCAAAAATGGCCCACCTTCGACCTCCACCTTCGTTCCTGCATGTTCCAGGTAATTCTGCGAAGCAGTGGAAGAGTCTTTGACTTATCGTCGCTGCGGGTGCTGAAACTTACACGGATGATCGCCGCCGTGCGATCGGCACGTTGCCTTCCTCAGACATGTTCGCTGCGACTCCTGGTGCTTCACACGTACTAATTACACGCCTGGATACTCACTTTCTACCTGCGATAAATATTGTTGCTGAACGTTACCGCTTCAGACAAAGAGCTCATTACCATGATGAATCAGTGGATGAGTACGTTAGTGCCTTACGTGCGTTGACTATTACTAGCGGGGGTGATAATTGGGATGAAAATCAAAATTTTGGAATATGATTGCGCCCACTTCAGAGGTGATGCATTGGGTCATTTTGGGGATATTTTGTATAGGAAGTGGGTATCTAGCATGAAAAAAAAAACCACCACACCCAAAAAACTAAATCTGCACTGCACGCACAGTGAACAGTGAGTATTATTACGAAATGAATGCCTTTTTCCCCATTTTAATGGCTTTGACATAGTTTATATTGAACACACCACTTAAGTCAATAAGACTTTCATAGATGAGCACATAACTGACAATTTGATATATTAAGAATATTATTAATGCACTAATATCACTAAATATCACAGACAGTCGGGGCATAGATAGACATGTAAATGATTGTAGACCTAGGGGTCTTTCCACATACAAACGGTAACAAAAGTGTGACATTTAGAGGGAACCATAGACAGAAGTCGATACATGAAGTACTCTGTCATGTTTTTTCCTCTTTCTACATCCCATGTCCTAGTAAGAACATTGTCCACCAACAAGTTTGATAAATTTCTCAGGATTGCAGAAATTACAGAGGATTATCTTCAAGATTTAACGTTCATAACATGGACAGACATTTCATTTTTAAGTGTTTGGAAGCAGTAAATGAAACGCATGAATTATCCCACATTTGTCCCTAAAGTAAAGCTATCCATTGAGGAATTGCCACTGGCCAATTTTACATTAAACCTCTATCAGTAGGTATTTTTAAACTACAGGGATGTACATCTTCAAGACTTCATACATTTTCATAACAGGGACAAAATATATTCACAAATTTGTGTCCTTGTTATGAACATGTATCAAGTCGCATTTCAATTTCATCAATAAAATAGGTTGCTTTAGTGTTGAATGATACCAATTCTACATTGAATAAGTAATATAAATGGAACAAGAGCTGGATTAATCATAAGAATGAAAGTAGTATGATTCAAGAATGTTCATCCATGTCCGTTATTTCATCTTAAAGATGGCATAGTAATTTTATGCATTTCCAATGAATCAGCTGACTTATTTATCAATGCAATCACGAATAATACAGGAATGTCTTTCAAAATTTCAAAAAATAGCAAAAGACCTGCTTTGAAATCCACCTCCCATGTCTCACCAAGGGGGTCAATCGCTTCTCAAAAGTGGGGGGACATACCTTGATCAGAATGCGATCGCAAAGCGCGAAGCCCTAACTCTGTGGGGTCCGGGAAACTTTTTGAATTCTAGACGATCTGTGGTGCTATCAGAGGCAATTTTTGACAATTTAAACACATTTTTGTGAGCAAAAGATCATCTTTTAAACATTATTTGTTCGAGTTTGAAGTCAATGAATCAGCTTTTCTGAGCTTAAGTTGGCTACAATTTTCATTCGGGGACGAAAAAAGTACAATATAGGGGGGGGGGGACAAATGATATGATATCCCCAACCCACTTTAAAAATTGTTAGGAGGGGCTCTCCCCCCCCCCCCCCATTATCAGTTGTAAATTTACAAAAAGTCAAGCCATTGTGCCATCGGCTGTATGGAAGAATTAATTTTAAGGAGGCCAAGTATACTGAGAAAAAAAAATGTGTCTGTATATACATTTCAGCATGGATGTGCAAGTGCCCTTTTCGAGACATTGTTATCCCCCCCCCCAATATATATGTAAATGCCCTTGCTATGCTCCTGTTGCCTATTTCAGGGGTTAAACTTTCAAGGCAGCACCTCAAGCCAAGCATCTTACTGAGTTCTTTCCATATGCTGTTGTGCCTGAATGTTTCCAATTTGAAATAATAAGTCTTTATTCATCATTACTACAACATGACTAGTCAGGGTATGAACAGCAGAATACTCAAACAGCCAGAAAAAGGCCATTTTGGGGTTAATTTTGAATTTGAAGGGGTGGGGGTTATTTAAGAGATACAGCATTACTTTTGGTGTCAAACGTCTTGTATTGATGGTGTTAACCATTTCTCAGATGGGCGTCTTCAAATTTTGACATTGGACTTTACCACCCCCCTCTACTATTACATGTAATTTTCGGGGATCTGCAGGATGAAATGATCCTTGATCAAATTGTGGAAAAGACCAATTCTGACAAAATTCGTGAGTGACTGCTGTTGGAACCTACATTGACTTTGACTTCAGCACTTACCTTGAGTCGACAAATGCAATCGGCAATGAGAGAATCGCAGTCGATTTCACAAGCGGTGGCTGGAGCTTCACTGGTTGAGACTACGGTGAATGCTACGTACAAGCGCAAGTCAGGCAAAGGCTTTAAACAAAGACTTGAGCTACAGATGAGTCACCCAAACTTCCTCAGCACATCCCTCGCAAAATACAATGCTTCCGCTGCGGTGTCCCCGATCACGTTCAAAGCCAACTCACTTACCTGCCCAGCTATCAATGCTATTTGTTCAAGTTGTTCAAAGAAAGGACACTATGCGTGTGTCTGCAAAACTACCGCAAGAGTTACTTGCCGTACTGTCGGAGTTGGTGAACTGACAATGGTGTGGAGGTACAAATCCTTACAATTGGGACAGAAATAGTCCATCATTTGTAATTTGTGCATTATGTTCATTTGAAGCAACAAAAGTGTTTAAAATCTATTGAAGGATACTGAACAACTAACCCGATGAAGTTTCAGCTCAGCTTCAGCTGTATATTCCGAGAAAAACAGCATTCTAGGATCTCAATTTCAAGTCAAATGTGCTCAATTTCAAGTCAAAAGTTGCTGAATCATGTTGTGTATTGTTTTAAATTACAGCTATACGCGATGTCGCGCACTAATCCTACGAATTATAGCAACCGCGCGCGCCTGTGCGTCGTACCAATGGACCGATCCAGTAAGCACAGCCCCATGGTATTCTGACCAATCACAGCCGTGATTTATGTCCGACATGCGTGCACAAAAGTCCGCCATGCGTGCACGCGCGTATGATGCGCGCGGCAGAAAAATGCAGTGTGGCATTGGAGAGGAGATCGTGTTAATTTGCTCACGTGCGCAGTGGGAGGGGCTTACTGGATCGGTCCATTCTTGCGCGCGCTGCGCCGAATAACAAAACGAACTGCTAATTTAAATTTTGCCAGAAAGAAGAATTTCACAGGGAGTTTAATCCCCTTACTATCTTTCAACCAAGTATGTTTTTCAACAATAATTACGCCAGTTACTTTTCGGATGGCTGCCAATGATGGACTATAGCTTTAAGTTTGCTTGAGTACATGGCTCATCGTCTTTCCCAGTCGTATTTCGTTTATTTGTAAAGGGACAGTTTTTGACGTTCCATTTTAATAATTATGCAAAATGCAGAAAACATAATCATCATCACTTCTCCCCAACCGAAAACTGGATCCGCCCTTGTTTCTACATATTTCCTTTTACAAAATTGTATTTTAATATAATAAAGTATTTTACAATTACTCAATTTTCACAAAGACAATGTTTTTCTGAACACTGTAAGTCAATTTGTTCCTTTCGGAGGCGGGGTGTGGGGTGAAATATGATAAGTTGTTAAAAAAAAACCAGACACTTAAAACAACTACCAACAAAATTAGGGATAATTCTGCAAGGGCACATTCATTGATTCACTGCAAGGGCGTATTAATTTTAGTTTTATGAAACGGGTGAAGGATTTTATCACCAGAGTGCATCAAGTGTATGTATTGTACACATACTGCATATGGCTACAGCTGAAAAAAATGACAAAGTGACTAACTTCGAATCCCAAGTCTGTGGTTCGGCCAATGATTTCCATTTACAAAACACATTTCCCTAGCCTGCACATCAAGTAGAAACAAATGCAACGCTTACCGTGCACGTGCCAAACAAAATGGAGGAGAAAAAAATCAGTCTGTCTTCTAAAATGTACTTTCACTTTGAGAATTGCATGTAGGCCCCTACCTTTTCTCTCGGACCGATTTACTGGTCTGCAACCTATAAAGACGCGAGGTACAAACCACTTGTACAACCCCAAATTACCCCCCCCCCCCTCCCCCCTTGTCCGCTCGAAATTGCTGTGATCGGACGACGGTCCATCAGCTCCATTCAGATTTTGGGCGCATTTGTTGCGGAACCGCCATTGGTGACCCCTTTTGAAACGCTGCCCCGCCCCCAGGTCCCACCCCCCCCCCTGTGGAATGTAAAGCGCAGGCGCACACATTTGACAACAAACGATGGAAGGCGCAATTTTGAAATTAAAAAGAAGCGAGGTTTTGAAAAATACCCCCAAACCACTTGTACGGCACGAGGAAGGATGGATGACTCATATTTCATCCAAAAATTGCAAAAAAAAAATCTCTGACTGCGATTTCTGGCCTGAAAACAAGCCCTCTGTTTGCGGCTGCCTTGCCGTAGGGCGCCCCCAACGGGAGTTAAATGAATTTTTGCACCTTCCAACCCCAAATTACCCCCCCCCCCCCTCCTTGTCCGCTCGAAATTGCTGTGATCGGACGACGGTCCATCAGCCCCATTCAGATTTTGGGCGCATTTGTTGCGGAACCGCCATTGGTGACGCCTTTTGAAACGCTGCCCCCCCCGGTCCCGCCCCCCTGAAAAAAAAAAACACTCTCGTGGAATGTAAAGCGCAGGCACACATATTTGACAACAAACGATGGAAGGCGCCATTTTGAAATTAAAGGTTGCAGACCAGTAAAAAAAACTTCCATAGACCCCAATGGTAAATGCTCACACTTCAGAAATTCGGGAAAAATACTCACAACTCTCCAAGGTGTTCGAGACCTTATTTCATCATCTTTCATTTTCTTTTCAATTTTCGGGGGGTTAACTGATGACTGTAGGAGAAATTTCCATCCGAAGATGATCACCCCTGAAAAT